AACACCATAACTCAAAAGCATCAATTCTTCTATGGTCTTCCTTATTCACTGTCCAGCTTTTGAATGCATATGAAGTTATTGAAAATACCATGGCTTGGGGCAGGTGCACCTTAATCCTCAAGCTGACATCTTTGCTCTTCAACACGCTAATATTTCTGATGGATGTACACATTAGAATTCTTTTCTGATAGGTCATTTAGTAATACATAAGAAAAGAATTTAAAGAAAACTTAAAAACAAGAAATTTTACTTTTAGGTATAATATTAAGAAATAAGTAAGAATATATTTGTTGTTTTTGTTAAGTGCCATCAAGTCAGTTCTGACTCATAGCGACCCTTTATAGATTTCCCAAGGAGTGTCTGGTGGGTTTGAACCACCAGTCTGTGGTTAGCAGTCCAGTATTGATCCTTCAGTGGCATACCAGAATTCCTAAAAATACATACAAAAATGTAATTACACAGCTTGTTAATATATGATAAAAAATTAAAACCACCAGTTTTGCATTAAAAGTGGATTGGATAAATAAATAAAATTGTTGTTAAGTGCCATCAAGTAAGTTTTGATATTGGTGGGTTTGAACAGCCAATTTCATGGTTAACAGTCCACTGTTTATCCTACAGTGCTGTACCAGGAGTCGAAATAAAGCACTAGTCATCAAATAAATCATTATCTAATAAAATTCTATCGTTGTTAAGTGCCAGGGGTCAGTTCTGACTTATAGTGACCCTGTATAGGGTTTCAGAAGCTTTAAATCTTCACAGAACCAGAATGTTTCATCACTTAGAACCTTGTGATTTACAGTCCAGTGTATGGACCCACCGTACCATATAAAATACTATATAAAGTCATTATATCATTTGAGAAGGACATTTATGACATGAAAGATGCTTTTGATATATTTTTAAATGAAAAATTGGTTATAAACAACATTAACCAATAATATTGAAAGGAAAGTAATAACGATTTTGATTTTATTTATTTGGTTTATTCCTATTTTATATTTTTTCCTTCTAAAGAACATCTGAGTCTTTTGTAGTAAGAAGAAATTTTAATTTTAGGAAGACATAAAATGAAAATAAGGACCTAACCTTGTATCTCCAATTTTTAAAAAAATGGTGTTTCCCACTTATAAATCAGGGTTGCTAAAATATAGTAGTTCTACTAGTGTGTCTCAAAGTAAGTAACATCAGTATTGCCTAGGAAATGATTGAAAATTAATATCTACTCTATCAGAATTTCTATGGATGAGGCCCAGAAATCTATCTTTTAGCAAGCTCTTCAGATGATGCTGAGACATGCATTACTCAGTAGAATGGGTCAGTGAGCCCAGTGAAAAACTGATGAGAAGCAGGTATTCTGATTGCCCTTTCTTATCCAACCAATTCTTTGTCTTTGTAGGAGTTAGTTAAGTAGACTGGGAGTTTATTTTTATTCATCTGTTCTATAAATATTTACTAAGGAGCTTTTTGGAAAGATGGTTGGTTGAATTTTGGAACTTAAATATTAGCAGAGGAAATTTCTGTAATTCTAATAATTTGGGAAATTACAATAGGATCATAGAACAAGAAGAAACTTTGCTATATCATTGGATCCAAATTCCTACCTTCAGGCAATGAACAGGATTAAACCATTCGTTTCCTTCCTCAATATTTTCTTATTTGAGATAATCATCTTGTGGATTTTGAATGAAATAGTGCTTTGGTTTTATCTTACTTTTAGTTTAACTTAGAAGTACTTCATGATACAGTAAAAACTAAATGATAAAGTATCTATTTTAATGAAGTGTTCTATGATTAAGGAGCTCTGGTAGCGTAGTGGTTACGGATTGGGCTGCAAACTGCAAGGTCAGCAGTTTGAAACTACCAGCTGTTCCACCGGAGAAAGATGAGGCTTTCTGCTCCTGTAAAGATTTACAGCCTCGGAAACCCTGTACAGGGTCGCTATGAGTCGGAACCGACTCCACGGCACATAACAACAACAACAACGTTTGAGATTACAACTTCTAATTTTGATTAATTGCCTTTTATTTTTAATGTCCTTTATTTTTCTTTTCCCTTTTCACCTTCAGTACCACAAGTTATGAATGAGACCAAAGACATACACTGCAATGATGGTGAGTTGAAATTAAAATGTTTCTGCTGCATAATCAACAACTGTTAGGCACAGCTCAACTTTTAATCCATTTTCATTTTGTTATATTTGGGTATCTTTGGAACACTAGTTTATTGAGAGTAAATTTTCAGAAGTAATGAGATTTCTGAATGAGTCATTATTTGTCACTTTTGCATATGATGAACATTTTAATTTTCTATTTTTGAACATGATTTCTTTTTTAAGGCCAGTAAATTCCAGGCACAGTTTAAATGGCTCAAAGCGTTCTATGGCATTGGCTTAGAGGCCCCTCAAATAGAAACGCTTGTCTCATCTGCCTCCTTTAGAAACCTCATTCATCTTTAGAAACCTCAGCCCCCTGCAATGATTTCTCTCCTGCCAGATTGTTGCTATATTGGGACATCTGAGTAAAACTTTCTTTATAATAGTTGAGAGTTTCAAAATCAATTTTAAATTTACTTTCCTAAAATTCATGTCTAATGGGTATATTTCATGACACTATATAAAGTCTTACATTTATAAATATTTCTAGTTCAGTCTTGTCAGTATTATTACACTGCTTTTGCATTCTGGAGAGTCGAAATAACTTTTCAAGATCCCAGGGCTATTAACCTAGTTAAGCAAGATCATGAAGCACAGGTTTTTTGTCACTAACTCCTGAATTCTCTTCATATCCCATAATAGGAAGGGACTTCAAAAGTTAGTGGAGACAGAGGGCTCGAGCTGAGAGTGAAGCACCCAACTGATCTGAAGTGAGGGGAGACGCACAAGAACAACCAAACTTATAGATAGTACCCATTTGACCTAGCCTCGATGGCTTGATAATCAGAACTTGACTAGAGGAAGATTTAAAAAAAAATTTGATAAAGGAAACAAGGGTAAATTGCTACAATTTGATGAACTTGACCTATACTCACAGAGGTAGTAGCTCTAAATACCAACAGAGAGGGAAGGAGTCTTCATATCAAATATCAATGCTATCCCCTCTGTATACAGGGTAGATAGGGATGGGCAACTTAGACATTGGCTACCTAAAATGAGGGGGTGATAAAGGCACAAAGTGACTGGCTTATAAGGTTTCTAGAGGGAGTTTAGTTTAAGAGTGTGTGTGGGGAAATAGAGTCCCCACTGAATAGTTTCCATCTTGTCTAGATGGGTCTGGTAAAAAGAGATGAGAATAAGATTCTTATGAGTCAATAGTGAGTAATTGTTATCATGACTAATTGCAACTGTCACAACTGTAAAGGAAGAAGTTTTGCAACAAAAATGGGGGAGTAGTTAATCTTACAGTCCAGAAACAGAGGACCCTAGGACCATCAAGGGAGAAGAGCACAAGTGGAATACAAGACCTTATTCAGAGAAGCAGTGATTCCAGAGATGGAGGCAGAGATGGGGACATGGAGAGGGAGAAGCTGTGGAGTCTAGATTCATGGGACAGAGGGACTGAGAGCTGGTGGCCAGGAGGCAGACTTGCACAATGTGCCCTTTGGTGGTTTAAATTATTATATATGCCTGAGTGTTTTTTTTTAAAGAGCTAAAATGAATAGCGAGAAATACTGTTAACTGATGGTACATTGTTGTTGTTGTGAAGTACTGTTGAATCGGTTCCAATCCATAGCGACCCTGTATAGGGTTTCCAAGGAGTAGCTGGTGAGCTTGAACTGCCGGACCTTGCAATTCAAACAGGTTTGCAGTCTGGCACATTAACCCACAGTGCCACCCCAGGATTCCAACTGATGGTACATAGAGGGGATTATAATCATTGTAATGAAACAAGATGTATGATTTGTTGAATGTAAAACTGATGATCTGCCCTGTAAACTCTCACTCAATTCACAATAAAAACTTGAAAAAAAAAAGTTTATGGAGAAATGGAATAAGAAGGTATTGGAATTTTCCCATGAACTTTTTTGAAGTCCCCTTGTATGTGATACAAAATTAAGAGTTATACACAGCAAGTCTGTTTTTAAAATATATATAATAATGCAATTGGCATATACACACGCACATACATACATACACACACACACACACACACACACACACATATATAGCTGTTGTTGTTAAGTGCCATCGAGTCAGTTCCAATTCATAGCGACCCTGTAAAGGGTTTTCGAAGAGCGGCTGGTGAGTTTGAAGTTCAAACTGACCTTGCAGTCCAACATATTAACAGCACCACACCAAGATTCCTATATATGCTTACATAAATATTTGGACTGATTAAGATCAGCACTGTGAACCACAAGGTCAGTAGTTCAAACCTACCAGCTGCTCCTCGGAAACCCTGTACTGGGTCGCTATGAGTAGGAACTGACTTGACAGCACTTAAGAACAATAGCATAAATGTTTATTTTTATACATAACATTTAAGAAGACTTGGTAGTTCCATGGTTAAGTGTTTGCCTAGTAACCAAAAGGCTGGTGGTTTGAACCCTCTTCCCCCTCACCCCCCTGTGGATCTGCAGGAGGAACACCTGTGAAGTTGCTTCCATAAAGATTACAGTGGAAAACACCCTATAAGGCAGTTCAATTTGAGTTGAAAATTAACTCGATGGCACTGAACATCAACAACAATCTATGTTGTTATGGGCTGTCGAGTTAGTTGTGATTCATAGTCACCTTATACACAACAGGATGAAACGTTGTCTGGTCTTGTGCCTTCCCCACAATTGTCATGCTTGAGCCCATTCTTACAACAATTGTGTCAACCCAACAGTAATATACAATTTGTCAAAACATGCACTTAAAAATTTGTCTTTCACAAATTTGAAAAAAAATCTGTTCTGTGAAAACATTAAGGCTAAAAAGAATGTATTGACTTAGGTCTTGGAAATTCTCTGATTTAACAAAATCTAATTTGTATCTTCTATAATATGATTTAATTAATCCATTATGTTTTGATGCTGACATTAAAATCACTTTAGACTTACAGGCTATACAATAATATGGTTTAATAAGTTTTTTTTTGTTGTTGTTATGTGCCATGGAGTCAGTTCCAACTTAGCAATCCTGCATAGGGTTTCCAAGGCTGTAAGTCTTTATGGGAACAGAAAGCCTCATCTTTCTCCCATGGAACAGCTGGTAGTTTCAAACTGCTGACAATGAGATTAGCAGCCAGATTCATAACCACTGCACTACCAGAGGAGCAACAATTATATCCAATTAAAGAAACAGAGTATTTTAAATACAGCACTGCTAGTTGGTAAAAGTTAACAAATATTTCTTTCATGTAATCGTCCCTTCACCCCACCTTCATCCCAAGTCCCAACAGTGCCAGTTGCCAACGAGTCGATTCAGACTCACACTGAACCCACGTGTGTTGGAGTGGAACTGTGCTCTGTAGACAGACCTTTTATCCAAGGTGCCTCTGGTGAACTCTAGCCTTTTGGTTTGCAGCTAAACACATTAACTATCTGTACCATCCAGGGGTGCTCTCAGTCCTTACCCCTGAAAGAATATACGCTACTTAATTTTTGTGGGAGACTGGCACCTGGAGTGTAGTGGGAAAGAAGCAGAAAACCATGAGCAGCATTGGAATGAACACTTGAGATCCCACTATGCTCCAGGCTCTAGGTTAGATCAGCATCAGCAAACTATTTCATCTCTTTGGGCTTCCAGTTCCTCATTTGTAAAATCCAAGGATTGTACTGAATGAGGTCATTTTATTCATGTCCCAAGTAACATCATAAAGAGGATTTGAACATGTTCAACAAGCTCTTAATTGTTTTCCCTGTTTTTAAGTTGGTAAAAACTAGCCCTAGCTGGGTCTTCATAATTCATCTTTCTGCTTTTATTGTATGACATAATTAAAAGAAAAAAAAAAAATCACCCTGTATGCTGATGTCTCAAAACAGGTGGGACTATCTCTTGGAGTTGATGCTGTTCTGGTGTTTAATATGAGTTACGATTATCCCTCAAGAGGGCAATAAATTCTGTGGTTAAAAGAAATCCATTAAAAGCAGCCAAACTTCAAACAGCTTTCCCATATATAATTGCCAAATAGGTTAAGCAGTTTGCTACCACCGAACCTCATACTGGGCTTACCATAGATCTAAACTAAGGTGGCCTGAGGCGAGTTGAGACTGGATGGGGAAGGATGCCAAGGAAATACCAGGTGTTTGTGGGCGGCAACAGGGATGATTCAGTTGAAGATGAAGTAAAAAATCGATCGAATTTCAAGCAGAGGTCTGGGACACAGTCCTTATGCCAGAGGTGGCGAATTTCTGATTAAACCAAAAGTAAGCACTTACTGAAAGTGTGCTTGATGCAATGACTGCACATTTTAATCTCACAAACAGCTGAGTTAACATAGACAAGTCCCATTGGAAGCCATCACCATTGAGAGAAAGGACAAAATGTAGAGCTGTTAACTCTCAATGAATATTTATAAAAATCTATCTTAATAAGTGGAAGTATGTCTTCTATGTGTGCTAGTTTGGATTTAAAATGTTACTTTCTTGGTTCTTTCTTAAATATATGGTGCAATTATATACATTCCCTTCCTCCATAGGATCATTCTCAAAGTACATTTCATACATGTGAATCCCAGCTTTTAAAAAATGTTATGTTGGGTATTTGTAGTCTCTATTTGAATCACATCTCATGATTAATATCCCATTTTTTTAGTGTTAATTTGGTGTCTGCGGGTCTGCAGTGGCTTTGCAGGATAAGCACTGAACTGTAAGCCACAAGGTTGGCAGTTATAGCTCACCAGCCACTTTTTTTGGGAAACGAAGCTTTCAAGCTTTCTGTTCCTGCAAAGATTTATAGCATCAGAAACCCTATACTGGGTTATTATGAGTCAGAACCGACTTGATGGCACTGAGTATCAACAACAACATCCATTATAGGATTTGCTGGACATTTCTCTTGACTAAAAAATGAATGCATTATTATTCATTTTGAATTTGAATTAAATTCACTTGAATTTGATTTAAAACTAACTTGTTTGAATTTGAATTAAAAGCTATGCTATGGTACTTTTCAGGATGAGTTCTAATCATATAAACATAGCCTCACTATTTGAATTTTTCTCTTTTATTATGAAAAGATATCATTGGGTTCAACAAAGTTATTGCTGCAGCCTATGAACCAACTGGATGATCTTTAGTTGACCATTAGGTCAATTGACAAGGCCAATCATCAAGTAGGTCGTTTCCCCAATTCACTGACTTAATCAAATCGACCAGTTTCTTCTTTATTAAGACTTTCATCTAACATAAAAGTGCAATATTACATTATTCCTTTTAACTTACACCTGAAAAGTTTTTTTCTTACATAAGCTGAAAAAAAACACATAGAGAGTGATTCAGAAAAACATGGTCTAAAAAATGTGTGCAGTGAAGCATGGAAGTTATACTGAAACCTAGGTCTAAGAACTGGGTTAAACCTCCATGTGGTTGGCAATGCCAATTGGGATGGATCTGGTGCCACATCTTTCATCCATAAAAAATATTAAAAACTTTTATCGTGATGCACAAAGTCTAGTAAATAACGAGAGATGATCATAGAGAGGAGGCTGAGGGATGGGTCTGAAATGCCTTGTCTGTGATGTTAGAGCTTAGACTTGACCGTGGGTTTCCTAAGAAACCATTAAAGAACTGGAGGTGGATTGTCAAATTTGATTTTAATAGAAAAATCATAGTGAAAGCGGTATAAGAGGAGAGGAAAACATAACAGTTACTGCCATAGTTTACATTCTTTGAATTGAGGTTTATAGCTTCCAGCAGCAAATTCTGTGTCAGCTTTTTCACTGCTTTCTTGTTAAATATCACAAGATGGTTTATCTAAGGAAAATGCAAGGACACTTTTATTTTACTGATCTCTTGTTTCTGTCTTTCTCTGCTGAAATTCTGTTGGCTATTGACAATAATTTATGAAGCAAAATACTTAATGATATTTCTTTGGAAGACATTTGCTAAGTTTCTTTGGGGTAAATTGTTGTTTATTCTTAATATGAACACTGACTGTAATTTATCAGTGGTTAATGTATGTGCCCATAATGTTATTTTTCTTTTTTTCTTACCAATTTGGGAAAATTGGGTTGCCAAACAGACTTTGTATTTATTTAAATGGCTTCAAATCAATGGTATGAAATAATATTCTAGGTTTTACAACAAGAGTGAGCAGAATATAGGATGCCCCTCTTATACTTTGTGATAGTTTCTCAGGTTGAGGTAGATTCCCTTGGTGGATTTGAAAAAAAAAAAAAAAAAATATATATATATATATATATACACATATATACATACATGGGGGGATAATATTAGCATTCAAATTCATCACTTTTTCCTATTGTTTATAACCAATATATCAATCCAATGACAGTTACATTAGACTTCCAATTAATAACTTATCCTAATCCTTTTACCTCACTCAGAAACATCATCCCTGTTTATATAATTGATTCACCTTTGTAGTAAATGCCATGAAGAGAGGAGCAATCTACTAGAGAGACCAGTGCCTGTGTTCTGCAGCTTTAAACTTTCAAGGACTGAGCAAAATGGATCATCTGAACTTATGACCATAATAGCTGTTCTACTAGGCAAATTCTACATTTCACAAATAGAAAATACGAAAAAGTAACTAATGATAGCCAAGGTGCCGAGTGAAACACCAGCTGTGCCCTCTAAAGTTGATTGAAAGAAAACAAGCAAGCCCCTAATTACATGTGTTTTAAAAATATTTATTCATTTCACTGTTATATTTTTTTTTGTCAATGCTTCTGTTTTTCTTTGTTTTTTAAACAGATAAACATGCATTATGTCATATCAAGCAGATCTCCATACATCCACATTTGGAACTAAGTCCTGAATTTAACCCAAAGATCAAAGACTATTACTCTGAAGTCCCATTTGATGTGGTAACAGTGACAATTGGAGCAGAGACTTCCAAGTGTCAGTGCAGGGTGCACCTGTATGAACGGGCTGGGCCAAGGTATGGAGATGCTGATGGGGCAAAACTGAGTCATCACAGTGGGAAACAGACATTGGATACAGCCTTTGAAGGTGTTCAAACAAACTTGAGATGTGAGATTCATTGGGGAGATTGCTAGGGTGTGAAATCCTTGCCTTTCAGGTGTCACACGGGGTTAAAAGGAGCATATCAGTTCTCTACAGACCAACTAGCCATCTTTGTAACTCATATCTGTAACAACTTCGTAACATGAAGGGATCTTGTTATGTAAAATATTAAAACAAAATAAAACAGCAACAGCAGCAAAACAGTTGCCATCAAGAGGAGAACATTGTTTTCAAATTTTTAGGTTCTTGTAGAGTTAATTTTTCAAAACAGGGACATCTTTCCAGCCCAACCTAACTCCAAGTTTCCAATTACTCAGGGTTGATTCTTATTACTCATGTTGGCAACAATTTGTGGATGTAGCCCCACTGGATTTCTTGTTGTTGTTGATCTTTTGAGAGTCACCAACTTTTTTGTCTGTCATTTTAGAACCTTATTACATGTCATTTAAGTGACAGGAAAGATACTCATGTTTTCCTCTTTTAGGCAAAGAAATGCACTCAGCATCCATGGAGCCAGGAAACTGTAGTAGAAAAAGATGAGAATTCAATCCAGACCAACCTGATTCCCAACCCTGACTCGACCATGAGACTTTGGGCAATCTGTTTGCCAGTTAAAAGCCATGGTGTCTTTAAATTTAGAATAGGGACAATCATTTTGTTTGCTTTGTTTTATGGAGTGACTATAAGTAAGTATTAAATGAAATAACAGATGGCCCTCACAGGTAGTTGTTATATGCTGTGGAGTCGGTTCCTTCTCATAACGACCCAGTATAGGGTTTCTAAGCAGATGCTGCTGGGTTTGAACCACTGACCTTGTGGTGATCAGTGCAGTGCTTACCCTACAGGGCACACCAGGACTCCCTCTCCTTTCATTGTGAGTCCCTCTGTGGTAGAAATGATGAAGACACTTCACTGCTAATTGAAAGGTTAGCGGTTCAAGTCCACCCAGAGGCACACTAGGAGAAAGGTCTGGCAATCAACTTCTGGAAAATTATCCATTAAGTCCTGTGGATCCCAGTTCTACTCTGACACATAGGGGTCACCATGGATCAGAATTGAATCAATGGCAACTGGTTTGATTTATGGTTTTCCTCCTTTACATGATGGAGGACATAATTTGTACTTTAAGAGAATGCTTGGCATAGCAAAACATTGTACAAGAATAGTTTTTCACACCTTAGGTCTTTTTATGAAATTGTACAGGTCTTACCTGTTTCCTGTGCAAACAGTATTTAATATATGTGAAATGAGTCTGTTTGGGCTGAATATTCGTTTTCCCCTCTCTTTTCCCTCTCTCCTTCCCCCTATACCTCCTCCGTTTCCTCTCTCTCTTCAGCTTTGCCAACTACCCTCTGGGATTAGGAATGAACACAATCTCAATGCTTGTGGTGGATGAATCTCCAGCCCAGGGTGAAAGTCTGATTGTTTACCGATTCACCATCTACAGAGAGGACCGCCCAAGTCTGCCCTTGTTCGAGGACTTCACAGCTTGTGGTTTTGTGCAGGTAACTGAATTGGACACTTTCTCTTGAGTTGAGTTGGGAAAGATCTGTTAGGTGCAGTGAGAAATGCAAATTCAAATTGTGGTCTCATTTCAAAAGCTTAAGAGTTCCAGTCAATATCTAAAGTACCTCAATGCAAACAGGTTTTTCTTTTTGGTGTGATGTCTCCTCTGTGTACTTACATTGTGTTTGGTGCATTTATTGTGGTTAATATTTAAAGAAATGTCTGACTACTCACAGTAAGTTATGAAATTGGTTTCACATTTCTCCTTTAGAGTGTGCTGTTTTTCTTGGATTTATCCCTGGATCTACTTTTGCAATTTTAAACTAGATTCAGTAGAATTCATTTTAAAGAGTGAGAGAAAAATTTATGAAATTATTTTATGGAAGGAATACCAGATGAATACAATTAAATTTGCATGAGGTAGATGCATTTCTCATTCAGTTCTCATACCTTAATCATTCCTAAAGACTGTAGATTTTCATCTTAGTAATGTATATCCGTTTGTAGTTCCGTTGATTTCAGAGGAGGGAGAATATTACCAGTGACTTTGTCTCGCTCTCTTTTCTTGGTATCCTTTTAATAATTCTATATGTAACATTCTCAACTTCTTTCCACAGGATACTCTCACTACTGTGAATTCCAGGGAAGTAGTAATTAGTTCTCTATATTTACTAATCTGTTCAGAAAATTTAATTGCAAGTTTGTCATCTCAAAAGGATTTATACACTACGAGAATCTAGTAGGAAAAGCAAGGGAAAGACATATATGGTAGATGGGTTTCAATGAGTAGCATGGATACCATATTTGTTATTTTTCTTATAATGTTCCTTTTAAAAAAATATTCTGTATATTTTCAGAGACAATTTAAATTAACAGAGAAAGTGCATAGTAAATAAAGTCCCTAGTTTGCACTGGAGTTCAGATGTTATGTTTTCTTTTGAAGTTGAATGTATAGATCCAGTAATCTAGGCATATAAGTAGACTTACTTCTGATACGTCTATTCTGATTCATAGTGATGCTATAGGACAATGGAACTGCCCCATAGGGTTTCAAAGGTGGTAACCTTCATGGAAGCAGACAGCCTGGGCTTCCCTTTCACAGAATGGCTGATGGGTTGGAACCAACAAATTTTCAGTTAGCCGCTAAGAACAGTCCCACCAGGGCTCCTTTACCCCATATAAATAGATTGTAAGAAACCCTTGTGACAGAATGATTAAGCACTCAGCTTGTTCTTGTTGTAGATAAGTGTCGTTGAGTTGGTTCTGACTCACAGTAATCCTGTCTAGACTTTCTGAGGAGTGGCTGGTGAGCTTGAACTGCCAACCTGTGGTTCAAACCGACTTTGCACATTAGCACTACACCATTACAGCCAAGATGCCATGTAGGGCACTTCTACTGTGTCCCATAGGGTCACTGTGAATTAGGATCAACATGAAGCACACGACAGCAAGAAGAAATGAATCAGATGTCCTTCAGAAATATATATACAAGAAATCTTCCTATCACTCTTACTCATAATAGCTAAACACTGGGAATAATCTAATAGGAGAGGAGACACACAAATTAAATATAACATAATTCAAAAAATTTCAAATAAATACACTACTAATATACATAAACAGGAATAAATCTCCAAAACGTTATGTTGAACAAATGGAGCCAGACTTAAGATATACTGTATTTCATTTATATAAACTTCAAGAACAGGCAAAATTAACCTTTGGTGATAGAAATCAGAATCGTTGTAATATCCTTAAGCATAAGGAGACATATTTTAGACAAATGTTCTTTATTTTATCTGTGTGAACAATGCCAGCTATAGAATTTGGAAATGCTGAATTTAGTTAACTTTGGCAGTAGAAATCTAAATAGTTGTGATACTCTTAAATATTACTATTGTTGTGAAGTGCCATTGAATCGATTCTGACCCACAACAACCCTGTATAGGGTTTCTGAGGTGTAGCTGGTGAGCTTGAACCGCCGACCTTGTGGTTCAAACTGACTTTGCAGTTCAGTGCCCTAACTCCCAGCATCGCACCAGGTCTCCACCCTTTAGCATATGGACACATATTTTAGAAAGTTCTCTATTTTGATCTGTGTGAATGATGCAAGCTATAGAATTTGGAAATGATGAATTTAATAAACTACGTAAGGTTAATGCAAGTTACTATTTATACATAGGACTCCTGATGTAGCACTGTAGGATCAGTGCTGGACTGCAAATCAGAAAGTTGGCAGTTCAAACCCACCAGCTGCTTCTCGGAAATCTTATACAGGATCACCATGACTAGGGGCCAACTCATTGGCACTTAATAGCAACATTATTTTATTGAGGTATAAGTCATATACAGTATATATAATTTATTACATAATATATATATATATATATATATATATGCTGGCGAGTCGGTATAGGGTTTCCTAAGAGCAGTTGGTGAGTTCACACCACTGACCTTGTGGTTCAAACTGACCTTGTGGTCTAGTACTTATTCTTACACAGTGCCAGATCAGGACTCCGAATAAAATAAAGTCTTGAAAAGATGTGAGAAAACGTGCATTGTTATCTTCCAAAGCTTTCCTCTATTTTCAAACATTATATTGATCAGAAACAGTGAATTAGCAACACACGATGAAAACCATTAGAAAATTTCTGTGGATAGTATTCTAGAGATGATTACAGAAAAGTATTTCAATAATTTATAAGAATCATTTCCAGAAGGTTTTACTTTAAAGTTTATACATGGTCCCACAATAGCACTATATTTTATAACATGAAACAAAGTCTAATAAGCAGTATTATTTTTCAGTGTTTCCTTTAGAAATGGTTAAATGAGTGAGCAGATAAATGTGGCATGAATAATGTGGGCTGTTTCTGACCCTTAATGAGGCAAGGCTAACCTCATGAATTGGGAGCAGTTAACAGCAGAGGTAGGATTTTATTTTTTTACCAGACATTCCAGTAAAAATTGTAATCTAGCGACCTGCCTCTTTTTTCTCTTGACTGTTTAATCTCATTAGGGTCTTTAAATTTCACCGAAAGCTGATACCACAATGAAAGCTACAATAAACAGAAAGAATGAGGAATAAAATTTCTAATCTATCACTTCTTTAAATTTTGAGAATTTCTAGATTTAAGTTAAATGCTAAACATTTTTCCTTTTTCTTTTTGTGTCCTCACTGTATTTTTAGGATTGAGTCAAATTATTGCAGATTAAAACTTGTTGTTGTTAAGTGCCTTCAACTTGGCACCAACTATGCACAACAGAACAAAACCCTGCCCTGTCATGCCATCCTCACAATTGTTAAGTTTGGTATTGCCCAGTGTTGCTGCCACTCTCCCAATCCACTTCCCCTTTACCAAGCATGATGTCCTTCTCCAGGGACTGGTCCCTCCTGATAACAACAGATGGCTTCTAAGAGGCATTCTGTCTGTACTTCCAACAAAGATTTGTTTGTTCTTCTGGTTGTTGTTGTTGTTTGTTGTTAAGTGCCTTTGAGTCGATTCCAACCCATAGCGACCCTGTATAGGGTTTCCAAGGAGTAGCTGGTGAGCTTGAATTGCCGACCTTGCAGTTCAAACGGCTTTGCAGTCTGGCGCATTAACCCACAGCGCCACACCAGGACTCCTTCTTCTGGTAGTCCATTGCAATTTCAATATTAATAACTCAAATGCATCAATTTTTCTATGGCCTTCATTATTCATTGTCAAACTTCTGCATGCATATGAGACAATTGAAAATGCCATGGCTTGGATCAGGCATACCTTAGTCCTCAAACTGGTATCTTTGCTCTTGAACATTTTAAACAGATATTTTGTGCGGATTTGATTTCTTGACTGCTGCTTCCGTGAGTGTTGATTGTGGATCCAAACAAATGGAGTCTTTGACAGTCTGCCCCAGCCTTGTTTTGGTTGAAGATATTGAACTTTTCTACCATCTCTCCCCACAGATGTAGTGAATTTGATTTCTGTGTGTCTGGTGAGGTCCATGTGTATAGATGTCTTTTATGTTGTTTAAAAAAAGTTATTTGCAATGAATAAGTCATTAGTCTTGCAAAATTCTATCATGCAGTCTCCTGCATGATTTCTATCACCAAGACAATATGTTCCAACTACTGATCCTTCCTTTTTGTTTCCAACCCTCATATTCCAATTAGCAGTAATTATTAATACACCTTGATTGCATGTTTGATCAATTTCAGACTAAAGAAGTTGGCAAACTCTTCAATTTCATCCTTACGTGCTTTAATGCTTGGTGCCTAAATGTAATGATGGTGGTAGTAACTGATCTTCCTTGTTGTTGTTAGGTTCCATTGAGTTGGATCCAACTCATAGTAACCGTATGCATAACAGAACGAAACACTGCCCGGACGTGTACCATCCTCATATTATTGTATGTTTGAGTTCATTGCTGCTGCCACTCTACCAATCAATCCATCTCACGGAGGAGCTTCCTTTTTTTTTTTTTTTTGCTGAACCTCCACTTCACTAAGCATAATGTCATTCTTCTGATAATATGTCTGAAGTATAAGAGACAAAGTCTCACCATTCTAGCTTCTAAGGAGCACTCCAGATATACTTCTTCCAATATAGACCTGTTTGTTTTCTGGTCATCTATGGTAACTTCAGCTCCTGTAAAGTTTTACAGCCTTGGAAACCCTATGCAGGGTTGCCATGAATTGGACCCAACTTGACAGCACTTAATAACAACAGCATGGTATCTTCAGTAATCTTCTTTGGCACCGCAACTCAAATGCATCAATTCTTCTATGGTCTATTCCTTGTGGAACTTTCACATGCTTATGAGGCTACTGACTTGGGTCAGGCACACCTGACTCTTCATACTGATATTTTTGCTCTTGAACACTTGAAAGAGATCTTGTGCAGCAGATTTGTCTAATAAAATTTGTCAGTTCATTTCTTGGTTTCTGCTTGCATGAGTGGTGATTGTGTATCCAAGCAAAATGAGGTCTTGGACAACTTCAATCTTCTCTACATTT